TTCGTTGGTCTCACCATACCCTTATGAGTGATCTTCAAGCTTTCGGCAGGAATATCGGAGCTGATACAGTTCATGATGTCTCCCTCCGTCTCGGTAAATCAACAGCAGCCGCCGATCCCATATACGATTTCCTATCTCGTTCACAAATCCTTTCCGAATTGCGCGTTTTCAACAACTTCTACCGTAGTAGATATGGTCTATGCTAACCACGCGCTTGGGACTAGCGGCCACAGATATCTACGAGATCTTCTCCCCCCCCCCCTCACCCCCAGTCGGAGGCGCCTCGCTCTTTCATCGTCCAAGGACGACGCGTCACCCCTACGGTAGACCAGAAAGACGCAGTGCGCGTAGGTAGCGGTCGGTTATCCATCGTAGCGATTCAGGCAGCATACGGCACAAGTAAAACTCTCGTTGGTGCGCTTATAGCTGCTCTGTCCTCGCAGACACCAGACACAACAGTTATAGTCACAACATCGACAAACGCAGCGGTCGCGCAATTCGCCGAAACGCTAATCTCCTTAGGCGACCTCCCTACCCTTAAGGTCGTTCGCCATATTTCTGATACGGCCGCTTCCAGTAATTTAACGCCTACGTCAGTCGATCTCAATAAGGTTTTTAAAGGCTTAGGAGCCGCATTTGGTCACTTACTCGATGCCGAAGACCTCGAAACATGCCAGCGGTTCACTCAATGTCGCCAACTACTCGAGGACTATCTCGAAAATCCTGATCGCGTACCGGAAATGTCCGACGACGACAAAGAAGAGTACGAAATCGCCGAGCAGTTCGTCTCCCAAACTATAAAGCGAATGGTGCGCATCCTATTCACGGTGAACCCCCCTTCAGTGCTCTGCCTAACCACCTCATCCCTACTTAATCCACTGGTAGCGGAGGCATCTTCTCCCAGTATGTCACTAATTTCAAGGTCATTATTGGTGATGAGGCCTCTCAAATACCAGAACCAGCACTGCTCACCATCGCCGCTCGCTTACAGGGCGCACGGCACGTGTACATTAGTGACGTTCACCAGCTCGCACCTCATGCCAAGTGCCTCCGGGAGTCCACCCCCGTTTTACACGGTGCTCGAAGTGTTATGAGTCTCCTCTTACAGGCTCCGGCAGTTCCCGTGGCTCCCTTAATCACCACGTTCCGTTCGCATCCGGCACTCATTGAACTACCTAACCGTATAGCGTACAATGGTGCTTTAGTAAGCGGTACCCCAGCGTCGGCCCGGCACTGCTATTTTCACTTATGCGCTTTCCTTCGCCTGACGTTCCCTTCCTCTTCATAGACATGTTTGGCGAATCTCTAAGGGCACCCAACAAGTCCTTCTGGAACCCTGATGAGGCACACCTTGCGACCCATTTCATTAAGCAACTTATTGAAATTGGCGGGCACGCTTATCAAATATGTGTAATTACTTTTTACAGAGAACAATTCCGTCGCCTACGACCGGACCTTACGGACCTCGGCGTCGAGCTCTCGATCGTCGATTCCGTCCAAGGACGAGAAAAAGAGGTAGTTGTCATCTTGACCACAAAAAGCGACTTTTCTCCACATGAAGCCGACTTCCTTGATGACTACCGACGTCTCAATGTGGCTGTTTCGCGTTGCCGCCATGGACAATTCATTTTCGGACACGCCAAGGCACTCCGCGCTCTACCAATGTGGAACCGACTACTTAACTGGGCCGAGTCCATCCGCTCCGTCATCCGCATGGCCGACGTCAACNGATACATATACAGCATATACCCCCAGCCTTCCCACTGGTGAGATTCTTCCTTTTTTCAGTTCTGCCTCCTCTTTCTTTTATCAGCTTTGTTTTTTTGAAAGTCCGGGTCGGACTTTGGGTAAAGGGGGGAGGTGTAAGGGACTGTAGGGGACGTGAACATGTGATGGGGATTCTGCGGATGTTTTCCTGATGACTCAGCTTCTACTTTCAGGGCGTGGCCTAGCGACGACGAGGAAGCCTGGGGAGTCGGCCGGCTACACGGACCGAGTGTCGCGGCTAACGTCCGTTTCTCCATCCGGGGCGATTCCCTGTACTATCCAGAAGAGATCTAGTCCTTGTCTACCGGTCTCCAGCCTCCTTCGTGTTTCCCTTGTTATGTGTATTTTATAGTCTTTGGTGCTTCTCTTGTTGCTCATGTTATATTCGTGTTATAAGGATAAACTCTTAATATTTAAATGGTGTTAGGACAAGGTGACCTTAGCGATCGTACCTTCCGCTGGGCGCGCTCGCTTTCTTCATGCACATTATTGAATAGCCTTTCTGGGAACATATCTCGACAATATCTACAAAACCCCTCCTTTGACATAGCTATAGTAACCGGCCAACACTTCACTCCTTTGAAAATAATATTTTTCTGTACACGAAGTTTGACACAGGACTAACAGAACAGAGCAAACAGTATTCAGTGTAAGTCGGTGCTTACGCCTTCTTTTGAAAGTCTCGATCTTTTGCTCTCGTTTTTGAAAGTGAATACCCTATAAAGACTCAACTGTTAGGCAACCAATGCCTTGGGCGGTACAAATGTTCCGAGCGATGATAACACCACTATCATATGTCGTTATCAAGGAACCTTGTTCTTCACGAAGATTTCATCAGATGGGAATTCAAAATTGCTGGCGGTTGGTCAACCTTTGTCGCAAATGATATCCTTCCTAGGATCCTTCATTGAGTTACAGATCTTGTTAGGAAGCGGTCGTAATCTAACAGCAAGGAATGAACAGAATTCTCTTCTGCTTATCGTGTGCTTCTAATGGGGCCCTATCGCTGCGCTTACCACTCACACAGCAAAGAAATAAGGAAGAATTACCCCTCATAGTAAACTTAATGCTAGCAATGCTATACTATAATCGGGACGCTTAAATGAATTGAAAATAACAAATGTTGTGAACAAAGAAGAATTGGAAATCATGTCTGAAGTTTTGAAACACTTACCACACGATAATCTGCATTTCAATGGAGTTAACGATAGAAATAAGTATTATGCCAAACAAATGTTTTCCAAAGAAAAAACAATAACACACTCACCACACGATCAGTCCAGCAAACATATGTACCGCAAATTACTTTAAATTGGTAAGTATCAGGCTCTAAAACGACCATAATACTTCCTCTGGCCCTTCTCCTTCTTCCTGATTTGTCTTCGACTGAATATTTTTTCCATATCATTTAATAGCCTCTTATGCGGATGTGATAAAAATCACAAGGGAATTCTGTATTGCCCTTCATTATAACTATATTATATTCATTATAACTTAGCAGTATTCACTTGAAAAGGGGTTCAAAAATCTCGAGAAGCAAAAAAAGGGCGGTAAAATATCCAAATTCGCGGTAGAAATAGACAGGATAGTGGTAGGTCAATTCGGCGTCTAATTGTAGCGGCATTATCGATCGGGCGTCTATCAGCTGGATGGGCAGTGGATAGGCTGATTAGCATTGTCAGGAGGTTGAATCAGCTGGACGAATTGCCCTCTCACAAACCGAGTCCTATGGGCGGCGCCAAGGAAGCAATTAAGAGCCTATGCGCCCCAATGGCAAGGTGGGTGCGAAGGGCCGCGCCAAACGACATACACCCCGAGTAGGGTTGTACTCGTCGAGCAGTTCAAATATCGAGAGAAGCGAAGGCTGGATCTTTGTTTCAGTATCGATGAAACAACTGCATAGAACCTTTACAACGACAAAGGACCTATGAGACGTAGAAAATTCATGCTTATGAGCTACTTGCTCTTTCGTTTTTATGGGAGTCAGCGCTGAGATGGACAAGATCGTTAACATTGATTCGTTCTTAACACGACAGTGTTCGCTATGCATTCTATCGTATAACCAGTAGTAGGGCATTGAAGTGGCGAGCTGTTTCGTATGCATTATATCTTCCTCGTTGTGACATACCAATTAAAGAATACGCAGAGCAAACCACAAAACGCCTAGGCTCTCCGCACGCGGTTGACAACGGCCCCGTAACGGTTACGTAACTACTCTAACTTCCTCTGTGTTCCGATCGCATCTAAAAATATAGGCGACTCTTCGGCGCGTGTCGCGCGCGTGGCCCATTGCCAAATACGGTGTATTCTCCTCGACCGAGAATACCACAACAATGATTACTACAGGAATACATATGAAACACTTTCCTATGATCACCTCAGTGTTATTCCCTAATGTTCTGGCTCGCTCAGGAGTGTACTGATGTTTCTAATCTATTCAACAGTCGCGGCTAACCCCTCTTCCTATTCAATGATCTCCATGTATTCGCTATACTCCCTGCATTCTTGCACATTAGATGCCGCTGGCAACTGCTTATTCTTTCACAAGTTCTTTCAGTAGTGAAAGTACGTTTTCCGGTTTTTACTCAATGTACATAGATTTAACTATCATAGGAACAGATACGACCCCTGACCCTGCTTCTCCCGTTTTCGAGTGTCGTGGTGGCTTTTACAAACTGAAGTATTGTAAACCCTCTACTTCACTTCGTATTTTTAAGATGGGCTACTTGCCCTGCCATAGAGATCTAGCGATTTCCTCACACCTAACTGTTGTGATTGCTACCACTTCAACCCATGCACTGATGTCATGACTCCAAAGGGCGGAAAACATGTTCTAATCTTATGATCCCAAAAGGCAAAAAACATGCGTAAGTTATTGTTGAAATGAAAATAGTAAGGTATTACTGAAATGAAAATATGTAACTGGTCTACTCAACTACTGGAATCCTGAAAAAAAAGAGATAAAAGGAGTGTGTGTTGAGGATAAGATCCGTTTGAGTCTAATCTCATTCGTCCACTTATCCTCCTCCCACATGCTGTAGTCTCGTAACTTTAATTCAACTTGCAATTTCTTTACTTCATCTCAATGGCTTGAACTCTGCAGCATCAATGACTTCATCGCATGGGCCTCATCCATGGTATTTCACTAAGCCTACGATAGTTTTTGGGGGAAACCAAATTGATCCGCAATCATTTCGACTCTCCTGAATTTATCTTGCTCTGCAGAGCCCATATTCGATGAGTAGATTGCCAGTCGATGAGGAATCTCTCTTGTCCTCCTGAATTTTTCATTGCATTGCAACTCTATATGGCTATTATAGAAGTTTCATAGCGATCTAACTTCTCATCCAACCAAACGATTCTACCTAAAGTTTGCTGCTTTTATGGCATCGGGGTAAAAGGAAGTAGAACAACTTACCCATACAAGAGGGCACTCGAACGCTGAAGGTGTCAATAAGGGTGAAGCGCTTAGGAACATAATTAGTCTGCCAAGCAAGTCAACCTCACAACACCATCAGCATACATTAAGCTGTTACAGTGAGATGCTCAGAAGATGTGTTACACATGATTCCTTCGCAGTCAGTAGTGAAAAAGCTCCAGCAGAGAAGAATACACCACATTTGGCAATGGGCAAAGAGACACGCACGCGACACGCGCCGGAGAGTCGCCTATATTTTTAGATGCGACCCTGTGTCCCTGACATCGGAAGGTTAGAGCACATGAAAAAAATACCCTCAGTAAAGGACAGAGTGGGGGATGGTGGGAGCCTCAGAGTTAGACAAGCACATCAGTCGGGAGGCGCTCGTTTGGCGCGATGGGAGGGGCCGCGCCGCCCATTTGAGGCGGTTCGCGGGGTGAACAATTCGATCATATCGAGAAGAACTTAAACAACAAAATCAGACAACCTCATGTGTGAGCGGTTGCGTCGCGGTCTCGCGCCACAGCACGTTGTTTTGGGGCGTCTTGGCAATGCGGGAAGGACTTCATGACCGAAGGATTCCTCCTTCATAACTCTGTTTATTGACGGTTGCGTAGCGCGTCGAAAAATTGTTATTCTAAGGTGTTTACTAATTGTAGGAAGTAACTTTCTACAATCAATGAGCTGTTAAACAATAGTTTGGTTATGTATGTCCCCTTTCCTGCATGTTTCCTCGTTCATGCTTCTTCCAAGAACATTCATCGGTAGTTACCCTACCCTAGTGAATGGCAAGTGAACACTGTTATGT